AGTACATTATAACAGCTTTCCCTGGATTAGCTTAATCACACTTTAAAATCACCTGGCCAACAATTCCATTTATCTGGTTCACTCAAGAGCTGGATTACAAAGCAAAACATAGGGCACATACAGTTCTGAAGATAACAGAGGCTCTTTGCTCGTGAAAGTCCTTGTCCAGTCTTTCTGTGGCATCTGATCTGAAAACAAAAGTTTAAAATATTCAATGAAGTTCGTCAGTGATTATCAGAACAGACCAATTTCCCAGTACATTCAAACCTTGCTTAGTTTACAGACACCCGCTTTGTTGGAAAGCTTATTATTACAGACAGTTTACTTTGTCCCTGGGGAAAGAAAGCCCTTAAATTCTCTAAATTCAACCTCCTCAGACAACAGACAACCTGTAAATATGGACACTTTCTATGGCCCCCTTAGTGCTGATATTTTAGAGGTTTGACAGCATCACATTTTCATGAATACCAGTGAGCAACCATGTTGGAATAATAATATTTACTACATATGATTATAACATTCATAAACATCCACCCCTTGACTGTTCTAGCAAATAACACTTCTGGTATCAATTTTATAGAACTTTTGCAAATATCATTTACAAGTGTAGCGATTGTTTCAGACTGTTTCCACTGATTCCGGACCAGCAGTTTCATGGGCTTAATTTAAGTTCCAAGTCACTAATCCCACCCTTTTGTGTAACGCTTGGAACCATTGTTCGAGGATCACTTGTATACCGTCGCCATATTTTATGTATTGTCCTTCACAGTTCAGATATATCTTTACTGTCATGTGTGTGTGTTTTAAATTCCTTTAAATGAATTTCTTTAGTTTTTTCCCTGAGTACATTTCTTTGTTTTGTATTTATTATTTGGTTTGATTATGTATAACTTTCTTCTGGTTTAATTCTTGTTATCATAACACTCTGTACAAGACAACAGAAAACTGAAGCTCATTGGAATAGAGTAAAAAAGTTCATTTGTTCAGAGCGTGATAAACACAGACTCTAAAACAACGGATGCACTTGTAAATTACACTTGTGAAAGTTTTATTAAATTGACCCCTGCTTTGCAGACCCCTGTCAGTCCCTAAGTTAGTCAGTCAGTTGCTTGCAGCCAGTCAGCCATTCAGTCAATTGCTCAATCAGTCATTCTGTTAGCCAGTCAGGTACCCAACTGGACAGTCAGTCAGTCAGTTGCTCAATCAGTCATTCTGTCAGGCGGTCAGGTACCCAATTGCACAGTCAGTCAGTCAGTCAGTTGCTCAATCAGTCATTCTGTCAGCCGGTCAGGTACTCAATTGCACAGCCAGCCAATCAGTCAGTTGCTCAATCAGTCAGTGTCTTTGTACTGTAAGCTGCTCATTCAGTCAGTCATTTAGTCAGTTACATAATCAGTCATTCCATCAGCCAGTCAATCAGTCAGTTACAAGTAGACAGTCAGCCAGTAATCAAGTTGCTCAGTCAGTCAAAAAGGTTAGTTGATCAGTCATTCAATCAGTCAGTTGGTCAGTAAGTCAGTCAGACAGTCACTTAGCATGTTGCTTGAAGTAAGTAAGTCAGTTGCTCAGCTAGTCCTGAGTCAGTCAGTGAGATGGTCAGTCACTCAGTTTGTCCGTCAGTCAGTCAGTCAGTTGGTACATGTAAGCCAGTTGCTAACGAAGTCAGTTAGTCACTAAGTTGATTTGTCAGCCTGACAGCCATGTAGCCAATGAGTAACTCAGTTAAGTGACTGACTGACCAACAAACTGACCAAGTGACTGATTAACTGAGCAATTGAATTACTGACCGACTGACAGAGAGAGCATTATTAATTACCCTTAAAGGCAAAATTTATTTTTTCATTTGTTTCTGCAATTTATAAACCAGTCTGACTCTTCTGTTTCCTTAAGGAGGGTTATAAGGGGTTACAGGGAATTATAGAGGTTAAAGAGATTACAGGGGGTTACAGGGGATTAAAAGGGGTTATGAGGGCTCACAAGAGAATATAATAGGTTACAGGGGGTAACAGCTGGTTAAAGGGGGCTACTAGTCGTTACAGGGTTTACTAGGAATTACAAGTTTGTTTTAAGGTACAGGGTATAGCATAATGAAACTTTTAACCAAACAGTTCTGTTTATATGTTTTTTTTTTAAATTTTATTCAAGAGCTGGATTAAAACGCAAAGCATACAGCACTTACATTACTGAAGATAACAGAGACTTTTGGCTCATGAAGGTCCTTGTTCAGTCTTACTGTGGCATCTGATCTGGAAACAATAAAGCTCACCAGTTATTTTCAGAACAGACTAATTTCCCATTCAAGTCAAACCTTGCTTTACAGAAGCCTGCTTAGTTTGGAAAGCTTATTATTACAGACAGTTTGCTTTGTCCCTAGGGAAAGAAAGCCCTTAATCTCTCTCTAAATTCAACCTGCTCAATACAGATAACTTGTTAATATGGTCCACATAGTACCCATTATTAAAAAGTTTTGACTACATCACATTTTCATGAATAACAGTGA